AGCCATTGTAGATTTGAGAACCAGTAAATAGTAAACACAAACTTCTGAGGGATAAATATCTGATACCAGTGCGCAGAAAATAAAAGCCTACCACTTTTGCCCTGGCATTTGAGTCTCATTAGACCTATGCCTAGACTGGATCTATACTGGGCAAATTAGATCCTGTCTCAAGTAACTCACTTTCTCAGAGTCTGACTTAATCCTAGTTTGTTCCCCAAGAGAGGACTTCTAGAATGGAGTAGTCTTATTACCAATTTTACCATCACATGACAAAAAAAAAAGATTTCCACCAAAAATAAAGATCATTTTTTCTATCCTTTATATATTGAGATTCCTTATCTTTTAAGAAACTTACTTTTCTTCATTGTCCCATTCCACTGAGTACCTAATGTGCTGTAACTTTACTGCAAACTTTTATACTTAATTGTAAGAACTGGTATTTAATGTCTGCCCTGAGCTAGATACATTACTTATTTTATTTAGTGGCACAGTGCTGAGGTGAAATTCACCCTATTTTTATATTTAAATCAAAGTGATAAACTTTCCAAAGGACCCGGCTTGCAAGTATCAGAGTTGACAGCTGAACTCAAGGCAACCTGCTCCAAAGTCTGTCCCTGCTCTGCAAAACAGCATGCTGGACGAGTGGCCTCTTGGTTCTTCCTATGTATTTAATTCAGTTACTCTGCAAACTACCACAAAACATTATTTTACTTTAGGTCCCTTTCCTCTCATCTCTGCTTCCTTTTTAAAGTAGCAAGTGGGGAGGAACTATGAAGAAATATTATTCTGATTTTTTTTCTTTTTTCTTTCAGGCTACATAAACTATTCTTTGTCTTTGCTGGAATAAACAATATTGTACCTGATTGAACATTTGTAATATCAGGAGACCTAACACATTATAGTTTGGCATCAGGCTAGGGAACCTCTGCCTTGAATTGGATACTATAATATTTCTCTGCTTAAGGCCCCTACTATTTGCATAATAATTGCCCCAGTATATTTGTGGCAGTCCTATCCAGAAACAGAATATGGTTATTTGTAAATAAATGAATACTGACCACAATTAGTTAGCATCTCAAAAAAAGCAGTAACATTCTGAATTTTTTTCTTTTTTTTTTTTTTTCTTTTGAGAAAGAGGGTCTTGCTCTTTTGCCCAGCCTGGAGTGCAGTGATGTCATCATGGCTCACTGCAGCCTCTACCTACCAGACTCAAACAATCATCACACCTCATCCTCCCAAGTAGCTGGGGCTACAGGTGAATGCCACCACACCTGGCTAATGTTTTTCTCTTTTTGTAGGGACTGAGTCTCACCACTTGCCCAACCTGGTCTTAAATTCCTGGACTCAAGCAGTCCTCCCACATAAGCCTCCCAAATTATAGGGATTATAAGTGTGAGCTAGTATACTCAGCCCTAAACTTTTTTCTCGGGCAATAGTTTTCAAACTTTTTATATTTTTAAAAAATATTTTTAAAATAGTAATTATTCTAAAGCAATCATCTTCCAGCCATTTTGTCAATTACCCACATTAAAGATCTGTTTTATATTGCAATCTGGTATATATTTATAAATATATGAAATTATAGATTTACAAAAACAATTATTTTCCTTACCGTAACTGATATAGTCTCATATTTCATACTCAATTTCATTAAAAAATTTATTTGTTGGGACTCACCAAATACATTTTATTACCCACATGAAAAGTAGAGGATAAGTTTGATGTAATCTCTCAGAGTTGGCTTAAACCTATCTTTCTCTTCTCCTTTTTATTCATATCTTCTTGCTTATCTGTATTTCTATAGCCTCATCCAAATCTCTTTTCTCTCTTTTCGTTGTTCTTACCTTCATTTTTACCTTGTCTAGTCCACCAATTCAGAACTGGAACTATACTCCACCAATGCAAAACTATAAAATATTCGTGTGAATTACAATGTTGCTTACATTATGATTTTTTTTCACTTAGGTGAATTTAACTTTTTTGTCTCTCAAATTCCAGACAAAACTAAACTATTTCTTAAAAGAGTTGCATATGTAATTTTACCTTCCTTGTAAGTTAGCTATTTTCGTAGTTAAAAAGTTTCCCATACCTATATGAATTATACTAGCAGTATTATAAAAACTGTCTTAATACTTGGAAATTAAACTAATAGATGTACTGTACCTACTTATGAATGTAACTTTCAGGATAATTAGAGGCCACAGAAGCATCCCTCAGTTCTCTATTGAGTAACTTAACTCTGTTCATGTTATTACCTCGATATCTCTCATGGCTGTTCCTTCCTCTCAATTCTATGTTCTTACTTATTTTTCTCTTAGATTATTGTAATTAGCTCCTGGTTAATCTTCCTAAACTCTCTTAATATATCTTTTGTCATAGTGATATTTAAAATAGAAATCTGCCAGTAACTGTTGAGAGTGTTTCACTGGCTTTCAACCACCTGGGGATAGTCTAAATTGCTTGGCATGGCTTTTAAAGGCTCTTTAATGGATCTGTATCCATTCTCTCTTTGACATCTATGGTAAATTGCTTGGCATGGCTTTTAACGGCTCTTTAGTGGACCTGTATCCATTCCCTCTTTGACAACTATGGTATTGGAGGGAGGAAAGTGGGATGAAAGGCTAATGAAAGATAAACAGAGCAAGCGGCTCACTGATTTTACGATGCACCATGTAATTTAGGCCTTTTGCATGTGTTTATATTAAAGTCCTTTTCTTTGCATTCACTTATCTGTCAAATCACATATGAGATGTTATTTGTGATTTGTTCCAGTAGTTTTCTTGGACATATCTCAGTTTATTCGTCTGCTTGTATGTGAGCCTCACCTTGTACTGGAATTGCTAGAAAGGAGAGAGTTATCTTCATTTAGGTCTCCTTAGTGTCTGGCACTGTGTGCCAGGAATATGTTAGGTGCTGCAGGTGTAGAAAACAACTAGACATATACAAGCCTTGTCCTTACAGTACTTTTAAGATGGCAGATAAGCATGTACAATAAAATAATAGGAGAAATGCAAGATGTTAAAAACTTCCTGGTGAAAGTGGCATTTCAAATGATCACTAAAGGATAAGTAGAAATTAACTAATTGTTGAGGAAAACTGAGACAACAAAATAATGTCCCATGGCTTGATGTTCAAATGGCAAGAAATGAAGCTACAGAATGTGCAAAAGCTGTCATGAAGGGCTGTGAGAGTAAAATGACCATAGAATTTATCTTCTGGATTGCAAAGCTTTTGAGAAGGAAATGGGAAGCTGTTAATAATATGCCAGGACAACCGCATAGACAGACCATCCTAGGCAAACTAGAATTTATGGTGAGTTTGAACTTTATGCTAAGCATATAGGAATTCACAGAAAGACTTTTAAATAAGAGAGGTAATTTGATCACATTTACATTTTAAAAATCATTATAGCTCTGGTGTGGAGCATGAGATGGCAGGCTATTGTAATAAACTGAAAGAACGTGATGACTTTACACAGAAGTGGGAGTAAATTTGAGGAAGATTTAAGAAGTGAATATTGGTTCATCAGATGGGGGTGAGGCAGAGGGAGGTGTTAAGGTTGATACCTGGTTTCTTTCTTATCTCAGAGAAGAGCATTACCATCCATCTCCCATGAAAAAGAGCTGTGTTGGGGAGGTCAAACTTAGACATTTTGAGTTATGAGATGGAAATATTCTAGTAGATAGCTAGTTGTGAATCCAGAAAGTCTGAGTTAGAGAAAGATTTGCATTTGTGTATGTTTTCTGTTTGTATTATTTCCCCATCCTCTATACTTCTTATTGTTTCTAGGGTTTATGTTGGGAAAAAATACTTTGTTTTGCAAACTTCAAAGAATGGTAAAAACAAAATGTTATGTTTAGTTTTTCTCTTTCTTGGCTAGGAAGTAATTCTGAACCAGTGAGCAGGCGCAGTGCTGAAGGATATGCTTACCACTTGTTAAATGAACAAATGGTGGGATTATGAGTGTTTATTTTGTTCTCTGTATTTTTATGTGTTTTAAATTTTTGTCTAAGTGATTAAAAATGGGATAGCGTTTGGCCATTTGTATCTGAGTGGCTCTTAGAAATGTAGTTTTCATCTGCTGGGCCTATGCTATTAGCTTTAAGGACATCTTATCTCATTTAATCCTCACAATACCTTGTGGGTAGGTGGTATTCTCATTTTACAGATATGGTTAAACTTAAATATGTTAAGTAGTTTTGCCTCAGTTTACACAAGTGGCAGAACAGTATTTGAACCCAGATTGGTCTGACTCTGATCTACATATTCTTAATCTTTAGACTCTAAGTTGTCTTTAGAGACTACCAAAAAAATTAAGCTGCTTTCAGTCTGTCTTCCTGTGACATTGACCATATGATGTACACATACACACTTAAGACTAGACGTTGGCCAGGCACAGTGGCTCACGCCTGTAATCCCAGCACTTTGGGAGGCCAAGGCTGGTAGATTACCTGAGGTCAGGTAATCTACCTGACCAACACGGCAAAACCCCATCTCTACTAAAAGTACAAAATTATCTAGGCATGATGGTACATGCCTGTAATCCCAGCTACTCAGGAGGCTGAGGCAGGAGAATCACTTGAACCTGGGAGGCAGAGGTTACAGTGAGCCAGGATCACACCACTGCAGTTCAGCCTGGGCAACAAGAGTGAAACTCCATCTCAAAAAAAAAAAAGTAGAAATTAAACACTATCTTGTATTGTTTTCAATACAAGATATTTTTTCAAATTTTACATGCTTGGTATATCTTGTCAAGCTCTCAGTAACAAAGTTTGAGTGGCAGCACCTTTCTTAACAGTTGAGGCATATGTGATTAAAGAGCCAATGAAGGATCCGCACAGGTGCATTGGGTTCTGAGTCTCATTATAGTATGCTCTGCCCTGGAGGACTTGAGCTGATGTTCACCAGCAGCTAAAGTGACGATTATATAATGTTTACAGAAGTGGATAGTTCTTCTTAGAATCTGTTATAATGTTTAAGCTCTGTTTGCTTTATAATAGAGAACTTTCTGTACTGGACACTGGATCGATAAAGTCAGAGGCCTGTGCTTCCAACTCAGCAGGTAAAATTTGACGTTTTCAGAATATGCAATATTGAAGCATCTCTTTATATCTGCATTCAGGCCTAGTCCAAAGGAATTCATTAGAACAAGAAGCTTTTCATTTTAGGGTCTATTAACCATATGTTTTATAGTTTGTCAATTCTCCTGTTTTAATTGACTGGTTGGAAGATCAGATTGAGATATTTTGTTTAATAAATAACCTTGTTAGGCTTTATCTATAAAAGATAGGTAATTGACCTCAGCAGTTTTTGCCATCTTATTTTGAAATTGAAATATGTATTTAAGCTTTATCACATTTTAAATCCGAGTTGCTTAAAATTTTATAGTTAACAGCTAGTCACAAGTTTAAATATCTGAATCTTTATTTCACAGGATGTAACTTAGTATGAAAGTTGATTTTACTTTGACCTTCAAGTTTTATAAGTATATTTAAAATAGCTTGAGATGATCAAGAAAAATTCTTAAATATCTGTTTAATTTTTTATACAACATAATGGAGTTATTTTGATAGAGAGGAATTATTGTGTAATTTGCTGAAAACTCTGCTTCATATTTGTCACATTAGACCTTAAGAGAGCCTCCGAATTCCAAGTCATTTTTTAGAATAGTCTTTGAATAACTCATTTTGTCTATAAAGTTTCTGTAATTGAATATTATTTCTTTTCAGCAAGTGAAATAAGACATGATTCCAAAGATGTGAACACTTCCTTAGGAAAAGTTGCTAATAAGGCCTCTGAAAATGAAACACTGGAAGACTTCAGTGAACAAATAAAAGGTTCAAACTTGGATAAAAAGGTAGTAGTGAATCTTTTGCATTTTTAAAAAATTTCTTGGTCTTAAACAGTGGTAATGCATAAATCCATCTTAACAGTGCTATTGGGTAGCAAATATAACTCCCTTTATTGAGTAAAAGAAAGAATCAAGTCACTCTAGCCGTGGGATGCATCCCTGATACTTGGTGTAAGCATAGTATAAACAAGGTTTTCCTTGCCTGGGAAAATGGGATGTACTGTTTAATTACATACTGTAGTTAGCTTTTTAGTATCTGAAGTTTGTCACAAACCTATGAAAGTCTTTCTAAATAAAATTTTACATATTTTTCTGCCTCAGAAAACAGTAAGTACCGAAAATCTTCTCATCTTTCTTAATTTTCAAATAGCATAGTACCTGAGGGCCATGCTTCCTAGTATGAGATGATTTATTTGTTTTGTTTGAGGGAAGGGGAATTATATATTTATCCTTCTAATACCATGGTAGACTTCAAAATACTAACCCATTACAAAATATGAAACTTAGTAATATTTGCTCTTAAGATAGCTTGCCCCCAAATTTGGGAATTAACAAACTTTCTTTCATCTCTCTCATCTTACATTTTAGGAGCATTAGAAGGTAAACAGATTGACTTACGGGACATATTCCTGGCCTACTTCTTTTCAGCTCTTGTATATGGCTGGCTCTAAATTTTTAGAAATGCTTCCTTATTGATCTTTTACTTCCCACTATATGTGTATGTATATTCAAGTATATACATATATGGTAGGAAGTAAAAGATCAATATGCCAGGTGCAGTGACTCAGGCCTGTTATCCCAGCACTTTGGGAGGCAGAGGTAGGAGGATTACTTGAGGCCAGGAATTTGAGACCAGCCTGAGCAACATAGTGAGACCCTGTCTCTACAAAAAAATTTTTTTAAAATTAGCCAGGTGTGCTGGTGTCCACCTGTAGTCCCAGCTACTTGGCAGGGTGTAGGTGGGAAGATAGTTTGAGCCTGGGAGGTCAGGTCTGCAGTGAGCCATGTTGGGCCACTACACTGCAGCCTGGGCAACAAAGCAAGATCCTGTCTCAGAAAAAAAAGTTTTGTGTGTGTGTGTGTGTGCCCACGCACGCGTGTGTGAATGATTCTTTTCCAGACATTTTTACTTTTCTCCTGTGTATCACTTGTCAATTTTTAGGCTTACCATAGTAGTAATTACTTGATGATTCTACTTTTGGGACCCTGATAAAGTACTAGACTACTTTTTTAAACTTTTTATTTTGAAATAGAGATTCACAGAAGTTACAAAGGTAGTACAGAGAGGACCCATGTTGCCTTCACCTAGTTTTCTCCTATAATTCCATCTTAAAATATAAGAAGCAGGAATTTTATAGTGATAGAATATATTTGTGAAGTTCAGTGTATTTTATCAAATATGCAGATTTATGTGACCACCGCTGCAGTCAAAGAGCTGTTCATCACCACAAAGATCTCCCTTATGCTACCTCTTTAGTCCTACCTTTTTCCCTCCCCCAATAATTTCTATAAGAGGACTACGAATTGATAATTCTAAAAAAAAAAAAAACAGCTTTAGTTTTACTGATTTTTTTTTTCCTATGTTGCTTTTTTGTTTTCAGTTTCACTGAGTCTGCTCTGGTTATTTCTTATTTTTTATATACATACTTTGGATTAATTTGTTGTTCTTTTTGCAGTTTCCTAAAATGGCAGCCGAAGTCATTGATTGGAAACCTTTATTATTTTCTTTTTTTTTTTTTTTTTTTATGAAACAGAGTTTCACTCTCGTTACCAAGGCTGGAGTGCAATGGCGCAATCTCGGCTCACCATATCCTCCGCCCCCTGGGTTCAGGCAATTCACCTGCCTCAGCCTCCTGAGTAGCTGTGATTACAGGCACGCACCACCATGCCCAGCTAATTTTTTTGTATTTTTAGTAGAGACGGGGTTTCACCATGTTGACCAGGATGGTCTTGATCTCTTGACCTCGTGATCCACCCACCTCGGCCTCCCAAAGTGCTGGGATTACAGGCGTGAGATACCGCACCCGGCCACCTTTATTATTTTCTAATAGAAACAGTTAGTGCTATAATTTATCCATAAATACTGTTTCAGCAGCATCCCACTTTTTGTTGAAATAATTGTGGATTCACATGCAGTTATAAGAAATAATACATAGATAACTATGCACCCTTTACCTAGTTTCTCCCAATTGTAATATATTGCAAAATCATAGTACAATATCATAACCAGAATATTGACATTAATACAGTCAAGATATTACAGAACATTTCCATCACCACATTGATCCCTCATGTTGCCCTTTTATAGGGCAACCCGCTTTCTTCTCTCTTTCTTCCATCACCCATACCTTAACTCTGGACAACCACTAATCTGTTCTGCATTTCTGTAATTCTGTCATTTCAAGAATATTATATAAATGGAATCATAAAGTAACCTCTTCAGATTGGTTTCTCTTTTTTTTTCCACCTGGTATGATCCTGTGGATATTCAACCAAGTCATTGCATATATCAGTAGTTCATTCATTTTTACTGTTTAGTAATATTCCATGGTATGAATATACCACAGTTTGTTTAGCTATTTGCTCATTGATGGATATCAAGATTGTGTCTAGTTTGGGATTGTTATAGGATAAAGCTGCTATCTGTAAACATTCATGTACAGGTTTTTGTGTAACTATGTGTTTGAATTTTTCTGGGAGAAATGGGCTGTAACTGCTGACCTCTATAGTAGTTAATTGTTAGGTTTTAACTTGAGTGAACTCAACCTCCAGATTACTCCCCTGTGGTTCATGTCAGTGGACATGTTTGTTCAGTTCTTGGAGTGTTAGCTGGGCTGTTTGGAATCCATGTTACATACATGTAGTTCAAAGATCAGCTAGAGATTTGGGCCAAGTTATAAGTAGATTTGGCGACTTTGTTATGCTTCCTCCCAGATTCCTCACCTCACTTTCCAATTTCTGATTTTGCCCCAAACTCTGTTTTTCAGGTTCTTTGTCAGTAGGGCAAATTGTTGTCCTCCCTAAGTGTTTCCAATTATACAGACATAAAAGCAAGACAGTTATCCAGTGGCATTCTGTTTTTCTGAGCGTAGACTTCCCTCTAGGTTCTGCCTGCTTTTTATATCTCTACAGGGTTTTCAGGTAGTTTAAAAATATTTTATCCAAGGTTTATGGTTGTTATCTGCAGAAGAGTTAGCCCAATAGAAGAGTCTCTTACATTTCCCAAAATATACCCATTGTGATATTCTTTTGAATTTCATCCAGGTGGTAGCATACTGTTCTTTACCTTGCTTGAGATGTTTTTCCTTTCAATGTATGTAATGATGTCTTGTTTTTGTAGTTGCATAATTATCTACTATATGAATATACCCTAACAAGTCCCACTATTGATGGACACTTGGTTTGTTTCCATTTTTTTGCTATTTAAATATTTCTGCATTATGCATCCTTGAGCATAAGGCATTTTGCATATGTGCAAGCATTTTTGGATTAATTCCTAGAAGTGGAGTTGTCAAATTGTCCTTCATAGAGATTGCTTTGATTTATACTTTCAACAACATTGTGTGAGTGCCATTTTCTCCCCACACACTAATTCATTATTAATTTTTTGTCCATCTGTTTATTTTTACAAATGACCTTTAGTTTTATTATGAATTTTTTTTATGAGTCTAGTTAAACATCTTTAGAAGCCATTTACATTGTTTTCTGTGAACCTCCTATTTATGTCCTGATAGGATTTGGCTCCGTCCACACCCAAAATCTCATCGTGAATCCACATAATCCCCCTAATTCCTGTATGTCAAGGGAGAGACCGGGTGGAGGTTAATTGAATCATGGAGGCAGTTCCCCCCATGCCGTTTTGTGATAGTGAGTTCTCATGAAATCTGATAGTTTTATTAGTGTTTGGTATTCATTCATTCTCTCTCCTTCCTGCCACCTTGTGAAGAAGGTGCCTAGCTTTCCTTTCACCTTCCACCATGACTTTTAAGTTTCCTGTTGCCTCCCCAGCTGTGCTGAACTGTGAGTCAATTAAACCTCTTTCCTTTATAAATTACTCAGTCTTGAGCAGTTCTTTATAATAGCGTGAAAATACATGCTCCTTTGCCCATTGTCTTCCAGATTTTTCTTTTTTACTCGTAGGAACTTTTCATGTAATAAATATATCTGTTCCTTGTCATATATGACTATACTTTTTTCTGGATTTCATTTGTTTTGACTTAGTTTAGGAGCTTTTCACCTTATAAAAGCCCTTTATTTTTATTTAATCAAATATGTCAGTTTTCTTTTATAATAGGAGTTACAAGTCACATTTGGAGAAACCCTTCCCCATCTCAACATTTAAATTTTTCTCCCATATTTTCTTTTAGGGTCTTGTGGTGGAGTTTATTATGTTTAAATTTTTTTATCAAACTAAAATTTACCTTAGTAGAAGGAATATAGAAACAATGTAACTTTATTTTAGCAGATTGCCCTTTGTACGTTTTATTCTCTTAACATATGAAAATATTTAAAATATCTGTGATCAGACCTACTGATATCATACTTCATGGTTTCTGCCTTTGGTGTCATGCTTAGGCTTTCCCAACCCTCCAAATTATATACTCCGTTATATATTTGATTGTTTTGCTATTTTATTTTCTTTTGCTACTTTTAGAATTTTTAATTTAATGATCCTAAAAGGTATTTTGGCATATGGTGAGTTGGGAGCACACTTACTTTCCATCCAGTTAACTAGCCAGTTCTTCCATTTGTTGAATCATTTCCTCATAAGTTTCAAGTGCCATATATAATGTTTTCAAAATTTTATGTATAAATCTGTTTCTTCTCTTTTGTTTCATTGATTTCTAGTCCTTGCACCAATAGCATACTGTCAATAATTTGGAAAATCGTAAGGAAGAAATAATAGGAAGGCTGGCTTTTAAAGATACTAAAATGTATTATAAATCTAAAATATTTTTTGGTGGTTCTCTCTCATGTATTTTTTTAAAGAGTGCTTTAAACTTACATTGTAGTTTTTTAATGTATAAATTAATTTGGGGAGAATTAACATCTTTAACTCAAGTATTCTTATCCAGGAACACGGTAGGTCCTTCAGTTTGTTATGTTTTATGTTTCTCAGTTGATTTTTGTAGTTCCCTAAGAGTTCTAGGTTGACTTCCAAGGCTTTTATAGTTTTGGGTTTTACATTTAAGTATTTAATCGATCTTGAGCTGATTTTTGTATATGGTATAAGGAAGGGGTCCAGTTTCAGTCTTCTGCATGTGGCTAGCCAGTTACCCAGCACCATTTATTGAATAGAAAGTCCTTTCCCCATTGCTTTTGTCAGCTTTGTTGAAGATCAGATGATTATAGGTGTGCAGCCTTATTCTTGGGCTATGTATTAGGTTCTGTTGGCCTATGTATCTGTTTTTGTACCAGTACCATGCAATTTTGGTTACTGTAGTCCTGTAGTGTAGTTTTAGGTCAGTAACATCATGCCTTCAGCTTTGTTCTTTTTGCTTAGGATTGCCATGTCTATTTGAGCTCTTTTTGGTTTCATATAAATTTTTAAATAGTTTTTCTAGTTCCATGAAGAATATCATTGGTAGCTTGATAGGAATACCATTAAATCCATAAATTGCTTTGGGCAGTATGCCCAATTTAATGATATTCCTTCTTCCTATCCATGATCATGGAATGTTTTTCCATTTGTTGATGTGATCTCTGATTTCTTTGAGCAGTGTTTTGTAATTCTCATGATAGAGATCTTTCACTTCTCTGGTTAGCTGTATTCCTAGGTATTTTACTCTTTTAGTGGATGCCTGTTTTTTTTTAATTCTTTTAGTAGATGCCTGTTTTTTCAAAAGTTTAATATTTGAACATGTATAACCTTATGAATAGAAAAATCACTATTTCCAAACACGTATTTGTGAAATGTAAGTGTAGTTATATTTAAAACACATTTAAATATTTCTTGTAAAAGATAAATTTTATGTTTATAAATACCACTTAAAAATAACTCAAAGCTCAAGCTTTTTTTCTGAATAAGAAGAAACTCAACTTTAGTTTTTCCCCTAATAATTTGAAATAGTGACTTGTGTAATTAAAAGTGATATCAAAAACTGGACAAATATTTTGGCTATTTAATTTTTCTCTTAAGCAGCAGTGGAAATTTTTAAGTCAGTATTCAGTATTTTAAATTATGTAGAATATAATTGTTTTTAAGGATTGGCCATAAACTAGTTGTTTAATTAATATCTAATACATTATAATAAATCCAGTAAACCTCATAGCTTAATATGTATTACACAGACATTCACTTGTACTTATTTAACCATAATCTCTTCACAGCATAGATTTACAGACAAAGTGATTATCAAAGAAGAAAAAGAAAAGATTTATGAAGTGTGCAAAAGGTCTGTAACATAATTTTTAATGACATAACTTAAAATAATCACTCATCTAATTTGTATTCTGAGTATGTTTTTTATTCTTTGTGTATATGCTTGGGCTATATGCCATAAGCCATATGTAGGTATCATTTAATTAGTGTGTCAGGTGTACTCAGGTGTAAGGGATGTTGTAAGTTACTGTAAAGCTGTCACTAAGTTTTTTGAGCCATTAAAATATTTTGTTGAGGAAAGATAAGGAGTAGTGATAAAAAGAAAAAGTGATGTGTATTTCACTTTTATCAAGATAAAGGTGGCTGAAATCAGATTCACATTGCACTTTGCAAGGATCTTACATGGATGCAGTGATTCATACTGAGAGTTATAGCACACTCGCTGGAACATATAAAACCACCACATTTAGAGTTGGAGATCATCTGATCCACCTAAGAAATCATCTGATCCATCCTCCACCACCCTCATTTTACATTTGAGGCAAGGCTCACCCAGGGCAGGTGATGGATATATTTGAGTTATTTAATGTTAAGGCACTAATTTTCAAAGTGTGATCCTTAGAGAAGCAGCATCATGTAGGAACTTGTCAGAAATGGAAATTAGTCGGTCTCATCTCAGACCTACTTAATCAAACTTTCGGGATGGGCCTGCCAATCTGTTTTTAACAAGGCCACCAGCTGATTTTGATGCATGCTCAAGTTTGAGGACTACTGTGTTAAGGGGAAGGCTAGACAACAATTAGATTGTTGCCACAGAAGGTTCATTATGGTTCATGACCATTTGGAGATACTAAAGAAAAAGCAAGAGTAACAAGGTTAACTATTGTTTTTTCTGTTGAAAGCATTTTGCTTACAAACTAAGATAATGTAATTGCAGCCTGCAAAGTTTTATCAACTTGACTCTATCATAGCAATCACCAGTGTGACATTGATTGGTTAAGTCATTACATCTTGGGCTTCAGTCATCTGATCAAAAATAAAAGATAATCTCTTCCATCTATAAAAATTCATAATTTCTATTTCTTTGTTTATGTTGCCGCTTTTGTTTTATTTGGCGGGGGACGTAGGGATTATACATATCAATGACATCCCAAGTTGGGGAGAGAAGTGAATATCTTTATTTTGTATAGAAATCTTAAATTCTATTAATGCTACTAAATTTCAACTTTTGTAAGTATGGGTCCCTCTTACTAATTTTACTGTCCTCTGGCCCTGAAAACCCAAGCTGATAAAACTTACTAGAATTATTTTTAAGGCAAAAGATTATAGTATCTGAATGTTGGCGTAAACCTTTCTCCTAAAAAGTAAATGTGTTTGTATTTACTAGTCTTCTCTGAAATACTTCTTTCCCTACCCTTGCTTAAGTTATTTTCCTACATAAGTAGTGTCCAAATTATATTTTTGTAAAATTGGTTATGTAGGATCTTGCATATTAAAATATAATTTAAGCTATTTAAATCAGCCACCCTGGAACAGAAACATTTTTAACACCTTTTCTCCAGGAAAGCTCTCAGAGACCTTTATAGGTTTATTGTATATACTTTTCCTGAAGAATAACTTATAATTCATTTAATTGCATTATCAGTAGAATAATTGAATGACCTCTTCTGGATTAGAAACTAGCCTGACTTTTCCTTACATCTTTTGTTTGGCGTGAAAAAATATTTTGCTCATTCCACCCCATTCCTTCCTTTACTCCAGCCACTTAAGAAGTTTTGGTTTTCTAGTTAAGAAGGCAGGAACAACCTATTGGAGATATTGAAGAATTGTAATATATACAGGTATACCTTGTAGATATTGCAGGTTTAACTTCAGACTACCACTGTAAAGCAAATACTGTAATAAAATGAGTCATACAAATTTTTTTGTTTCCCAGTGTGTATAAATGTTATGCTTACACTATGTTAAGTCTGCAATAGCATTATGTCTTTTTAAAATGTACATACCTTCATTTTAAAATATTTTATTGCCAAAAAATGATTATATCATCTGAGCCCTCAATGAGTCATAATCTCACCTGGATGTTGATGGCTGCTTACTGAATAGGGTGGTTGAAGATTGGGGTGAAGGTTGAAGGTTGAGGTGGTTGTGGCAATTTCTTAAAATAAGACAACAGTGAAGTTTGCTACATCAATTGACACTTCTTTTCACAAAAGATTTCTCTGTAGCATGTGATACTATTTGACAGCATTTTACAGACAGTAGAACAACTTTCAAAATCGGAGTCAATCCTCTCAAACCCTACCTCTGCTTTATCAACTAGTTTGATATTCTGAGTCTTTTGTCACTTAAACAATATTCATGGCTTCTTCATTAGGAGTAGATTTCATCTCAAAATATCACTTTCTTGGCCAGCCTGACCAACGTGGAGAAACTCTGTCTCTACTAAAAATAAAAAAATAGCCTGGCTTGGTGGCGCATGCCTGTAATCCCAGCTACTTGGGAGGCTGAGGCAGGAGAATTGCTTGAACTGGGAGGTGGAGGTTGCAGTGAGCTGAGTTCACACTATTGCACTCCAGCCTGGGCAACAAGAGCAAAACTACACCTCAAAAAAAAAAAAAGAAAGAAAGAAAGAAAGAAACCACTTTCTTTCCTCATGCATAAGAAGCAACTCTTCATCTGTTCAAGTTTTATCATGAGATTACAGCAATTCAGTTACAACTTTAGGCTCCACTTCTAGTTCTAGTTGTCTTGCTATGTCTTCCGCATTTGCAGTGACTTACACCGCTAAAGTATTTAACCCCTGAAAGTCATCTATGAGGGTTGGAATCAACTTCCTCCAGTTGATTAATGTTGATATGTTGACCTCCTATAAATCACAAATGTTTTTAATGGAATCTAGAATGGTGGATTCTTTCTAGAATATTTTCAATTTACTTTTCCCATATCCATCAGAGAAATCACCGTCTGTGGCAGACAGAGCCTAATGAAATGTATTTCCTAAATAATAAGGCTGAAAAGTCAAAACTACTTCTTGATTCATAGATTGCAGAATAGATGTGTTAGCAGGAATAAAAACAGCATTTATCTCCTTGAACATGTCCAGCAGAGTTCTTAGGTGACAAAATACATTGTCAATGAGCAGTAGTATTTTGAAAGGAATCTTTTTTTGAGCAATAAGTCTCAACAGTAGGCTTAAAATATTCAGTAAACCATGCTTTAAACAGATGTGCTATCATGCAGGCTTTGATGTTTCATTTGTGGAGCACAGACAGAAGAGATTTAGCATAATTCTTAAGGACTTTGGATTTTTGAAATGGTTAAAGTTGCCAGCTGCATTATCCTTTAACAAGAGAACCAGTCTATTCTTTGAATCTTTGAAGCCAGGCATTAACTTTTCTCTAGCTATGAAAGTTCTAGATGGCATCTTCTTCCAGTATAAGGCAGTCTTGTCTACATTAAAAATCAGTTTGGTGTAGCTTCCTTTATCAGTTATCCTAACCAGATCTTCCAGATAACTTGCTGCAACTTTTCTATTAGCAATTCCTGTCTGACCTTGCACTTCTATGTTACAGAGATGGCTTGTATCATTAAACCTTGTGAAGCAGTTCTGCTAGCTTCAAACTTTCTTCTGTAGCTTTCTTATCTCTCTCAGTCCTCACAGAATTGAAGAGTTAGGGCCTTGCTCTGTATTAGGCTTTGGCTTAAGGGAATGTTGTGACTGGTTTGATCTTCCATCTAGATCACTCAAACTTTCTCCATTTCTGCCATAAGGCTGTTTCACTTTCTTTTCATTTGTATGTTCACTGGAGTAGCACTTTTAATTTCCTTGAAGAACTTTTCCTTTGCATTGACAGCTTGGTTAACTGTTTGGTACAAGAGGCCTACCTTTTGACCTATCTTACCCGTCAACATGCCTTCCTCACTAAGCTTAATCATTTCTAGCTTTTGATTTAAAGTGAGCAATGTGAGACTCCTTCTTTCACTTGACTAATTAGAGGACGTTATAGGGTCATTAACTGTCTAATTTCAATATTGTTTTGTCTCAGGAAATAGGGAGACCTAAGGAGAGGGAGAAAGATGGGGGAACAGCCAGTTGGTGGAGCAGCAGAACATACATCATTCATTGATTAAGTTCACCCTCTTATAAGTGCTTAGTTTTCATGATGCCCCAAAACAATATCAGTAGTTACGTTGTTATGGGTTCACAGATCACCATAACAGATAAATAATAATGAAAAAATTTGAAATATTGTGAGAATTACCAAAATGTGACACAGAGACGTAAGTGAGCATATGCTGTTTAAAAATGGTACCAATTAGACTTGTTCAACTCAGGGTTGCCACAGTCCTTCAATTTGTAAAATAAAAAATAAATAAAAATTTTAAATAAGAAAAATATCTGCAACACATTACTTTAATGTGTAAAAATGCATTTAAATTCTGATGTTAGTATTTTTGTTCACACAGCAAAGATTCTAGGAATGCAGACATTATGGTTGATGAATGTCAGTTTGCAGCACCAGTCCCGAAACCTCTGTGCTTATTAGTACCTCCTTTGAATCTAAGTGGTCATCAAGAAGAAACAGTACTGAATACCTGGACGAATGGTACTATTGGTTTCCTTAATGAAATCCTGTTAGCTTTTGGTAAAACAGAAACTAGGAGATTTTTCTCCAAAAAAAAAAAAAATTAAGAAAAATGGAAACATGTAGACTATGTTAAAATTAGAAGATGTGTGCACCTTGGGATGGAGTGTCACACTATCTCCCAGGTTTGAGTGCAGTGGTTGCAATCTTAGCTCACTGCAACCTCCGCCTCCTGGGTTCAAGCGATTCTCCTGCCTCACCCTCCCAAGTAGCTGAGATTATAGGTGCCCACTACCACGCCTTGTTAATTTTTTGTATTTTTAGTAGAGACTGGATTTCACTATGTTGGCTAGGCTGGTCTTGAACTTCTGACCTCGTGATCTGACCGCCTTGGCCTCCCAAAGTGCTGAGATTACCAGTGTGAGCCACTGCACCTGGCCTACTTAGTACTTTTGATAGAACAATGTGTGAAGTATCTGTATTTATGTGACAGTGGTAGTCTAAATAAATTACAGATTATATTTAAAATATATTTTGATGGAGTGTATTTGTATATGTATTTTAGAAATTGTGTCAGTTTTTTGATAATTAACAATACTTTGAACAAAATAAACTACATTTAAAGGATGAATTTATAATCTATAAAATCATGTTGTATAGCACACACCTAACTTTTCTATACCTACCCAGTACTTGCTTCATGTTGCCTTGTGTTGTGTACCATAACAGCAAGCCCACGATGGTCATGTGTTTTATCTTAAAAAGTCTTACAGTTTTCATAATGCAAATTACTGCAAAGCTGTGCAGCAAAAACTTCAGCTTGTTTCAGATTGTAGCTGGATGCTGCCAAAGTAAAAAATAAATGATTTAAAATTAAAAATACTTTTATATTTATTTGTTATTTTTATCGTTAGAAAAGAACATTTTTAAATGCCCTAGTTATCTTTTTAAAAGACCAACGTTAAAGGATATGATGCCTGGTGTATTAGTCTGCTTGGGCTGCCGTAACAGAATGAATGCCACATGTTAAAGGGCTCAAACAACAGAAATGTATTTTGCACAGTGCTAGAAGTTTAAGACTAAGGTTCTAGAAGAGTTCATTTTCTGATGTGGGCTCTGTTTCTGGCTTGCAGATGGCTACCCTCACATAACTTTTCTTTGGTGTGTTCTTGGGAAGAGTGTAAGCTCTGTGGTGCCTATTCTTTTTTTTTTTTTTTGAGACAGAGTCTTGCTCTGTAGCCCACACTGGAGTGCAGTGGCACAATCTCAGCTTACAGCAACCTCCGCCTCCTGGGTTCAAGCAATTCCCCTGCTTCAGCCTCCCAGGTGGGATTACAAGCACATACCACCATGCCCAGCTAATTTTTTGTATTTTTAGTAGAGACGGGGTTTCACCATGTTGGCCGAGCTTGTCTCAAACTCCTGACCTCAGGCAATCCACCCACCCAGCTGCCCAAAGTGCTGAGATTACAGGCATGAACCACCATGCCAGGCCAGTACCTATTCTTATAAGGACATTAATTCTATTGACTCAGCACTCCACCTTTATGACCTCATTTAACCTTATTAACTTTTATAAAGATCCTATCTCCAAATAGAGTCATATTGAGGGTTAGGGCTTCAACATGTGAATTTTATGAGGACACAGTTCAGTCCGTTGCACCTGGATTTGTCACTAGTTTTCTTCTCTTAAAAATAGCTATTGTGTATAATATTTGTATGTTTTACTTAGAGACATATCATTTGAATGCAGTGCCCAATGCTGTTATGTGAGGTTTTTACAAAGTTGTCTGCAGCTTATAGTGAGTTTAAAATTTTAAATTCAGGTCTAGAAATACTCGAGAGTACCTAAGATGTAAATCATACTGTATTTCACAGGAACACACATGGCAGCACAGTCTGTGAATTGAACATGAATATTCCAAAGTGAAACTTTAAAGCAGATAGCAGTGATCATCTATTTCATTGTTATGAAGAGACTAAGTTGTAACATTGGTGTGTAATGTCACTTTAAATCATTTCTAGATTTCAGATTTTTGGGAAAACATTCTGTCCTAAAGCTGCAGAATCCTGCAACTTGTGAAATATTTAAGAGGGAAAAAAATGTAGGGGTAAGTCTGCTTTAAAAAATCATCTGTTTCTTTCTCTTCCCTCTCCTCCTCCTCCTTCTCCTCCCTCCTCTTCCTCACCTACCTTCACTCCTTCCCTTACCCTCCCCTTAAAAAAAACATCTCATAAAACCAATACTTTGGACCTTCTGATTATATTTCCTTGAGTATCATCATTTTTTAAGCATTTCCAGATATATGGATTTTGAATAGAGGTTCGTGGTAAGAGGTAAGTAGTGACTTAGAGGATAATCACAAACAGCATAAGAGGTTGAAAACAGCAGAGGGAGCCAGGCTTGGTGGCTCATACCTGTAATCCCAGCACTTTGGGAGGCCAAGGTGGGTGGATCACAAGGTCAGGCATTCAAGACTAGCCTGGCCAAGATGGTGAAACCTTTGTCTCTACTGAAAATACAAAAATTAGCCAGGCATGGCAGCAGGTGCCTGTAATCCCAGCTACTCAGGAGGCCGAGGCAGATAATTGCTTGAACCCAGGAGGCGGATGTTGCAGTGAGCCAAGACTGTGCCACTGCACTCCAGCCTGGGCAACAGAGTGAGACTCCCTCTCAAAAGAAAAGAAAAGAAAAGAAAACATCAGAAGGAGAACATCCAAAACAGAAAATAAAGGATGAATGGTTTCCTGTGATGAAAGAGAAAGCTGCTGATATAAAGCAGTTTTATGGGGAAAGTTTGTTGTAAGAAGCTTTGACTCTGTCATTTGTCTTTTTCTATTAATCAGAAAAACTAAGAATTTTGGTTCTAATAAATGTATCTGAAATATAGTACATATTATAATAGAATTAACTTTTTGTAAAAGGAGAAGCAGGTGCATGAAAGGGAGGAGGACTGTGTATGTTTTTTGAAATATGTAAAGTGTATGGGGGCAGGGAGTCCATAGGATATCTCTGTGCCTTTTTCTGTGAACCTAAAGCTGCTCTAAAAAATAGTCTTAAAGATGAGACACAAAAGAGAATAACCTTGATGGAATATTTTACACGAAGATAAATTTTTTAAAATCCAGACAAATCACTCTGAATTGATTTTTTTATTATTTTTGAAAATATAAATTTTTTGAAGTTTTATTTTTTCTTACCAAATTATCAAACAAGTTATCTTAATACTCTTTGGAATATATGTTATTTGTGTTGCTTCAAATGCTATCTTGCTTGACTATAGTAAGTGCTTTACAGTTAATACAGAAAGGGAATCTTTCTGCTTTTCTAGGTGCTCCAGAAGTCCCTGGGGTTGATGTTACCCTATAAATATTGCAGATTTCATTTTAATACGTTACGTGGCTGTGAGCGTCCACTGTGCAAGTTTGTTCATGTGCCTGAACAAGGGGATGAAAAGGTAAAACACATAAAGTCTTTAAAGTAGAGATTGTTTTAATAACATTCTCAGTCACACATTTTAATTTAGACTTTCATTGACTTCTAATAGCATAGATGGAAGTTTTGCCTGCTTTTGTTCTTTATATAAATGGAGTCATACATGTATATTTTTGTCTGTCTTGTTTTGCCCAATATTTTTGAGCAAACACCTATTTTAGATGTTTCTCATTGTTATATAATAGTTAATATTCCATTTTGTGAGTATATCAAAATGGAATATCGGGTAGAACAGATTTGGATATTTCAATTGTGATACTGTCAGTGTTCTACATGTCTTTTGGTGAACATATGTATACATTCCAATAGGTTATACTAAAACTGGAACTGCTGTGTCATAGGGTCTGCATATATTCAGCCTTAGTAGGTAATAGCCAAACAGGTTTTCAGAGGGGTTTTACCAAATTACACTCTCACCAGCAACGTCTGAGAGTTCTGGTTATTTCATATCATACCCAGCTCTCAATATTATTAGCCTTTTGCATTTAGCCATTCTGGTGGGGGTAGCGATACTTCGCCTGATGATTGATGAAACTGAGCACTTTTCGAAATGTTTATTGGGCATTAGTGGGATATGCTCTTTTTGAAAGTATACAGATATTTTCCCTGTATTCTATGGGATTTTTCTCTGTCCACAACTCATATAATCTGTATACAGGTTCTTGGTTGTGTGTGTGTATGTATATATATCTATCTATATAAAATTATTTACTACATTAGAAGTTGCCTTTGCACCTTTTTTATTTTGTTTTTTAATTTTCATTTTTAAATTATAAATTGAAAATGATATGGGGTGCAGTGTGATGTTTTGATTTATGAATATGGTGTGGAATAATTAAGCTAATAACATATCTGTCACATAAGATACTATCTTTTTTGTGGTGAGAATATTTGAAATTTACTCTTAGCAATTATGAAGTGTACATTATTACTTGCTGTAGTCACCACACCATATAATAGATATCAAAGAAAAAAATACTTTTTCTTCCTGTTTAATTGAGATTTTGTACCCTTTGATCATCATCTCCCCGTTCCCCTAACCACCCCCTACCCCTGTCCTCTGGTAACTGCTGCTCTACTCTCTGCTTCTTTGAGTTTGATTGTTTTATATTCCATACGCAAATGAGAACATGTATGGCATTTGTCTTTCTGTACTTGGCTTATTTCACTTAGCATGTTCTCCAGTCTATCCGTGTTATAGCGACAAAACTTTCTTTTTTTGAGGCTGAATAAGTATTTCACTGTGTATATGTACCACATTTTCTTAATCCATTCATCCATTGATGGACACTTAGGTTGATTCCATACCTTGACTGTTGTGAATAGTGCTGCAGTGAACATGGAATTGCACACATCTCTTCAACGTACTGATTTCATGTCTTTTGGGTAAATACCAAGAAGTGAGATTGCTGGATCATACGGTGATTCTATTTTTAGTTTGAGGAGTGACCATACAGTTTTCCATAACGGCTATGCTAATTTACATCACCACCAGCAGTATACAAAGATTTCCTTTTCTCCACATCTTCGCCAGCACTTGTTATCATTTGTCTTTTTGATAATTGTCATTCTGACAGATGTCAGGTGATAGCTCACTGAGGTTTATAATTTGCATTTCTCTAATTAGTGATGTTGAGCCTTTTTTGTACATTTATTAGCCATTTGTATGTCTTCTTTTGAGGAATGTTTGTTCAGCTCCCTGGCCCTTTCAAATTGGATTACTTGTATTCTTTCTATTAAGTTAGTTGAATTCCTTATATATTTTGGATACTAACCCTTTGTCAAATATATAGCTTACAAATATTTTCATAAACAGATTTATACATAAAATTTTGAAAACATTAGATATGGCACTTGAAACTTATGAGGAAATGATTCAACAAATGGAAGAACTGGCTAGTTAACTGGATGGAAAATAAGTGTGCTCCCAACTCACCATATGCCAAAATACCTTTTAGGATCATTAAATTAAAAATTCTAAAAGTAGCAAAAGAAAATAAAATAGCAAAACAATCAAATATATAACGGAGTATATAATTTGGAGGGTTGGGAAAGCCTAAGCATGACACCAAAGGCAGAAACCATGAAGTATAATATCAGTAGGTCTGATCACACATATTTTAAACTTAATTTGATTGTCAAAACTTAATCAAATCAACAACTATCCTCTAATGAGGGACTTAACACCAGATTGTGCCCAGATAAGGCAAACACCTAGCTATAGCCAATCAAGTAATTTCTCTACTTTGCTTCCACATTCAGTCTATAAGAAAGCCCACTGTTTACACTGTTAAAATGGAATTCTCTGAACCTCTCTAGTTTGGGGTGCTTCCCCATTCGTGAATCTTTTAATGCTCAAATAAATTCTTACATTTATATTTTCTGCAGTGTTTCTTTTAACAGAAGTCAAAATAAAGTTAGCAGGGACACACTGAAGTCTTTCTGTGATAAGGCTTAAAAGTTTACGTGATTGTAAAAGGCTATATGCTAGAAGACCTCAGCTAAAATAAGAACTCTCTAATACAGCAAGAGCCAGAGTTTCTTATATCTTCTTTTTGTTTTCAATCTCTTTTCCTCTTTACATTGTATCCTCTACTCTGCATTCAGAATTATCTTCCTAAAATATGGAATTAATCTGGTCAATAATTAAAAAAAAATACCTCCCTTCAGTATACAAAATAAATTCAAATTCTTTAGTTTGGCATTCAGCAACTTACAATCTTGTGTCAGTATATTTGTCAAATTTGAGTTCTCACTGATGTACCACCCCCCATGCTCCAGTCACACCATCCTTTTCATCTTTTAAAACCCAGCTCAAAGCCACAATAATATGTGGCAAACTATGCACTAAGACCACTAAGATAAGTAAGATAGGTCCCAGCTATCAAGAACCGACATTTGGCAGAGAGACACACAAGCAAACAAATCAATGTTATTTAATATAAAGAATGTGGTATAAAATACAAGTAGAATCCAGATAGGCAACAAGATCAGAAAAAAAGAAAAAGATATTCGTGGGTGAAAGAATAATAGTCAACACTTACCATATATGCCAGATTCTGTTTCAAATCCTTTACGTATATTAATGATTTAATCACCATTTTCTTTGAGGATGAAAATGAGAGACAAAAAGTTTAATAAAAAGAAACATAATAATAACTACCATTTATTGAATATTTACAACATACCAGGCACTGTGCTAAGCACTAAAAAGGAACAAAATGGAAGTAAAGCCTTCAATTTTTTTTTTATTATACTTTAAATTCTGGGGTACATGTGCAGAACATGCAGGTTTGTTAACAGAAATATACATGTGCCATGGTGGTTGTCTGGATCTATCACCTCGTCATCTACATTAGGTATTTCTCCTAATGCTAACCCCAACCACTGACAGTCCCCACTGTGTGATGTTCCCCTCCCTGTGACCATGTGTTCTCCTTGTTCAGCTCTCACTTATGGGTGAGAACATGCAGTGTTTGGTTTTCTGTTCTTGTGTTAGTTTGCTGAGAATGATGGTTTCTAGCTTCATCCATGTCCCTGCAAAGGACATGAACTCATCTTTTATATGGCTGCATAGTATTCCATGGTATATATGTGCCACATTTTCTTTATCTAGCCTATCATTGATAGACATCTGGGTTGGTTCCAAGTCTTTGCTATTGTTAACAGTGCTGCAGTAAACATACATGTGCATGTGTTTTTATAATAGAATGATGTATAATCTTTTGGGTATATACCCAGTAATGGGATTGCTGGGTCAAATGGTATTTCTGGTTCTAGATCCTTGAGGAATTGCCACACTGTCTTCCACAATGGTTGAACTAATTTACACTCCCACCAACAGTGTAAAAGCATTCCTATTTCTCCACATCCTCTCCAGCATTTTTTTTCCTGACTTTTTAATGATTGCCATTCTAACTGGCATGAGATGGTATCTCTGTATAGTTTTGATTTGCATTTCTCTAGTGACCAGTGATGTTGAGGTTTTTTTCATATGTTTGTTGGCTGCGTAAATGTCTTCTTTTCAGAAGTGTCTGTTCATATCCTTTGCCAACTTCTTGATGGGGTTGTTTTTTTCCTGTAAATTTGTTTAAGTTCTTTGTAGATTCTACATATTAGCCCTGTGTCAGATGGGTAGACTGCAAACATTTTCTCCCATTCTGTAGGTTGCCTGTTCATTCTGATGATAGTTTCTTTTGCTGTGCAGAAGTTCTTTAGTTTAATTAGATCCCATTTGCCTATTTTGGCTTTTGTTATCATTGCTTTTGATGTTTTAGTCATGAAGTCCTTGCCCATGCCTATGTCCTAAATAGTATTGCCTAGGTTTACTTCTAGGGTTTTTACGGTTTTAGGTCTTACATTTAAATCTTTAATCCATCTTGAGTTAATTTTTGTACAAGGTGTAGGGAAGGGATCCAGTTTCAGCATTCTGCATATGGCTAGCCAGTTTTCCCACCATTTATTGAATAGGGAATTCTTTCCCCATTGCTTGTTTTTGTCAGGTTTGTCAAAGATCAGGTGGTTGTAGATGTGTGGCATGATTTCTGAGGCCTCTGTTGTGTTCCATTGGTCTTCATCTCTGTTTTGGTACCAATACCAAGCTGTTTTGATTACTGTAGCCTTGTAGTATAGTTTGAAGTCAGGTAGCATCATGATGCCTCCAACTTTGTTTTTTTTTTTTGTTTTGTTTTTGTTTTTGCTTAGAATTGTCTTGGCTATGCATGCTCTTTTTTTGCTTCCATATGGAATTTAAGGCATTTTTTTCCAATTCTCTGAAGAAAATCAGTGGTAGTTTTTTCCAATTCTGTGAAGAAAATCAGTGCTATTAGATGGGGATAGCATCGAATCTATAGATTATTTTGGGCAGTATGGCCATTTTCACAATATTGATTCTTCCTAACCATGAGCATGGAATATTTTTCCATCTGTTTTTGTCCGTTCTTACTTCCTTGAGCAGTGATT